CATTTTCAAATTCTTCAGTGACATAATTTCAAATTCTTCAGAGGTAAATTTTTTTTTCACGTCATATATATATAATATATATATATTTCATATGTATATATATTATCGGTGAAATTAATAAATTCTGTCCTTTTATGGAGACCGATTATTTTAAAAAATTGAAGATAATTAATTGAAAATGAATAGATCAGCGCGCGCGAGAGCGCGCGCATAGATCTTGTATTACGAATAAAGTAAAACGGATGCTCGCGAATTTTTTTTTAGCCTGAAGGGTGAAGTTGAGAACATGAGGTGAGACAAAGGAAAAAAAGTTTAAAAGAAAAAAAAACCCTTCAACTAATAGAGTTGAAGTTTATTTGTAAATATCTCTTCCAACTCTAATTTCTCGCTATACAAAAATGCTCACAGGATTCTCTTGGAAAATGACTCTTGAAAATTTTCTCAATTTTTGAATAGAAGTATAATTAAAGTTATGCTTTTTCGGATGTCCATTTTACCCCAGATGTCCATATTACCCCACCCTCCCCCATTTCAGTGAGCCTTCATCATTTTTAGATGATCATTTCCGTTATAGAGTTATATTCATTCACTTACCGATGACTTTTTGATTGTTTTGATGAACAATAATGTGTTTGTAACCCGGTACGTGCAACTTTGTAGGGACTTGGACTGTCTTCTTCTTCTTCGATTGTTCTGGCACTGACAAAATGTCTCGCAGCCAGGACTTGGATTATGATTGCTCTCGCCTTTTGTTATTATTGCTGTCACTCTCGGATGTTGTTAGTACGCTTCGGCGATGACGCGCGACGTCGCTGACATCGCTCGGCGTTTGAATATGCGCGCAGCTGCGTCATGTGTCCGACTGCGGCTTTTGTTTGTATTTTTCAAGTGTCGGCAATGAAAGTTCTCACTTCACTTTGCAGATTTCAAATAAATATTACAAAAAATAAAAACTTTCTTGTTTTTCGTTAAATGGTTCAAAGTCTACAACACGAATTATTATTAACATCACAACGCTTTAGAATCTCATCGCAACCCTCAATTTTACCATTTGATTTCGATCTGCTCGACTCAAAACTTTGAACAGGAGTGATTTTATTTTGTCATCTCTTCGATCGTCAGCTCGGTCAAGGGTCCGTGAGATGCCACCAATTTTTTGGAGGTAGAGGGGGTTCGACGAATCATTTTGCAAGAAAATCGACAATTCGCTCGGAGGGGGGTGGCCTGAGAGGGGAGCGAAAGAAGGGGGTCCCATCGATGGGAATTCCCAGTTCCAGGTAAAGGGCCCGCATTTCGAAGAATTGGGGGGGGGGCGGTGAGGTACAGCGAATAGGGCAATAAACGAATAGAAAGTAAACATTCTGAAAGGTGAAAGCAAATGTGCAATAAAAAGGATTAACTAAATAAGGACCACGTTTTGAAGGGGGAAAGGGGAAAATAACGAACAATACTCTGGGAGAACGCGGGAGAATGTTCTGTTAAAAGAATAATATTTATGACGGTCAAGGCGCCCGGCCACGAATTTACTTGGGAAAAATAACGCATGGTCATAAAAATTTAACGAAAGGACCTCATGGATGGGTTGAGGACTTTTCCCTCGTTCAAAATGCGCCGCAAAAATCCCCTTCAAGCCATTGCTAACGTCAGTCTGATAAATATGCATGTATTAACGATATTCATTGTATTGATTGGTCAATTTAATCACCAACATCAACGCATTTCAATGTAATGTATTTTTTCATATTTGATATTTTAACATTTGAATAATCAACTAGCAAACGCGCGCTTCGCGCCCGTCGCTACATGAATTTATACTACTTTATTTGATTTTAATTTCATTTTATTTCCATCTTCATAATTCGATTAATTTAATTTTAAACATTCTTATCCTTATTATATAGTTTTTTTCCCTTAATTCACAAGTTACAATATTGAATGAAATGGAATAATAATATTATGTTAAAGATCAATAAAAAAACGTTTTTTTTGTGATGAAAGCAAATACACAAAACAAAAGTCAATCGAAATCTCATTCGAATAATAGAAAAATCTCTCTATGCATCCCTGAAAATTGTTTTAATCTATTTTTCCCTTCATATGGTAAAAAAATATATTGGTACTCCTCATTACTATAGTCAGATTCCAATTATTATTACGAAAAGGAAATGAAAAAAGAATCAGAAAGGGATAATCGGCTAGACAATGGATTTTAATTAGCAGATCTATTTTAATTAGCAGAAAAAAAATATTTGAAGGGAAAATAACAGAACAAAAAATAATTAAATCGAGAAATAGTTGAATGCTGTCGAAACATCTCATTTCTGGACCACTGGGCCATATTTTTTTCATTTGTTATAAAATGTGGATCAATAGAAAAAACAATTCATCACATGATTATACACGCGTAATATTTTTGGACAGTGAAATAATCAGTAGTAATACCACGAGACCTCCAAAATTATCGTATTTCCCCCGATTGTTTTGTTGCGCAGCAACGATAGGGAGAAATTTTGCAGATTAAAATCCCGAGCGCTCAGCGCGAAAGATTTTTGTGCAAAACTTATCCCGATCGTCGATACGCAGGAAAACATGAGGGAAATGTTCAATTAATTTTGGAAGTCGAGTGGTATTCGAAGGATTATTTTTGGTAATCGGATCCTTCCCAAACCGACTCATTTTGACTTTCTTCATGGCTTTCTTTTACTCCGCAGGATAATATTTGACAGTTATTTAGTTAGAGAAACAATTGCAGAGCTAGAGGGAAATTATCAAAAGCTAGGGGGAAATAACCGCAAGTACTACCACGAGAGCTTCAAAATTATCGGGTAATTCCCGACAGGTCCGTTGCAAACAAATGAAGGAGTCAAGTTTTTCAAGTTAAAAAATCACGAGTGCGAAGCACGAGTGATTTTTCCTGAAAAACTTGACGACTTCGTTTGTGTGCAGGGAACCTGGAGGGAATTACACGATTAATTTTGAAGGTCGAGTGATATTCGTGGGGTTATTTTTCCATCCAAATTTTGGCCAATAGAATTGCACTAAGAGACAAAATCCTCACACTAAATTCGTCCCAATATTTATCCTGGAGTCTTATTCCACATTGCCTTTAGCGAAGTTTCCTTGTAATCCTGTCCATTAAACTTCTTCATGTTGTATGCCCAGTCTTTTAAATTATCCGCCAGTTCCTCTTCAGCGATGTCTGCCCTCAACACATAATTTCTCTGCTCACAAAAGGCAGAAAACTGATTCCACATGGACGTTCCCGACTTTACAGTGTTGATGGGTACATTCCACTTGACTTTCTCATCGATTTTTTGCAGAGAAAAATCTCCAAATCTATTCATTTTGTATCAAAACTCCCCAATTGGCGCAATGAAATTTAATCTGTCAAATTCGATGGGGGTTAACTGGACTGGAAAATCATTTGTTTTTTATATAGGCAACATGAAAAATTATCAGTTGAATTATCAAAAAATTAAGTTGAATTTCGCGTTGAATCTACAAAATCACGTCGAATGGTGCGATTCTATTGGCTGAAATTTGGATGAAAAAATAACCGTTGTAATTTTAATTGGAAAGTACTTCATGTTATTGAATACTGAACTCTGATTGGCCCAGGGAAGGCCAGATCCGATTACCAAAAATAATCAGTACAATTTTCATTTTATTTATGAAATATTCAATGCAATTTGAAATCGTGCAGAAACTAACCCCCGTTCAGAAATTGTCCTGTTTACCCTTTGAATACAGTCACCTGTATTCAAAGTTTCCGCTGAAAATAAAGTAAACATGGCGAAGCGTGAGACCCAATCGTAGCTATCTACATATATATATGCTACCTACGCAACAACGTGCAGTACAGTTTGTTTTTGTTTGTTTTTTTTCTCCTCAAGTAAACATTGAAACAAAGTAAATAAAGCGAATTTGACAATTGAAAGTTATGTACAATTATTAGAGGGTATTGTTAGGTTGTCGCAATTAGAAAATATTATCCAAATGGAGAGTGATTCAGTGCAGTGTCCAATCTGCTCGAAGGAGTTTCCTAAGGGATTGATTGAAACACATGTTTCCAAATGTCTTTTCCTCAATGAGGCGACGACTGAGACCCAGGGATTCTTGAAACGACCCAGGTCCAACAGTCAGTCCAAGACGAAGAGTCCAAGTGTGGTTAAGAAAACGAAATCTAAGGTTAAGAGTGTCCAACGGAGTCAGAATGTATTTCAATCGCCTGTAAATCTGGAGATGAAGGATTTGGAGGACAGGGATGAAGAGAAAAATGTGAGTAAATTATCTGAGGCCTGAAGTAAATATTTGACAGTTTATTGTTTTTTTTTTAATTTATTTTTCTGTACATTAAAAATAGTCCAGGGCCTCCAATTTTTGAGCTACAGAGGTTTCTTGTTTTTAAAATGGTTAAAAAAATGTGTACAATAATAATTACGAATTAGTTTTTTGAAATTCAATTGCTGCACAGCTAACTTCGTCATTTTTTAATTAAAAAATTGCACCATTCATGGAATGGAGAATATATTTTAAATATTTGAAGGATAATTATTCTGCCGATTTGACATGAATGACGCAAATTTTTATTTTAATGAAAACGAAATTAATTGTGTTGGAGTCGAATTTCAAAAACATAATTCGTAATTGTCATTGCACACATTTTTTCAAAAATTTTGAAAAAAAACATCCCTGTAGCTCAAAAATTGGAGGCCCTGGACTATTTTTAATATTTTAAGCGTGTACGGGGCAAACGAACAATAAACAATCAATTTTGTGCATTAATTTTTCGTTTTTAGACATATATAATCGATCTTGAATGTATGAGAAATCTCATTCCGAGCGCCCGCGATTTTTAAAACTGATAGTATAGTATGGGAAAATTAATTTTTTTACTTACTTTTTTTTCCGAATGGAAGCATTATAATCGTTCAAATTTAAGTTTTCTATTTTTTGTATTATATCAACCCATTATGATCCCAAAAGTCCAAAAATGAGTTTTTTAGACGGTGTCCTTACGTTCGTATGCACGTATGTGTGTATGTAACGAAATTTTTCTCCAATTTCTCGCTAATGAATAGATGGAATTGAATCTTTTTTTTCTCAAATGTAGATATAGCTAAGCCCTATCCATCGCCATTAATTAAAATTCAATTCATTGATTCATTTTTTTTCGTTTTGAATGTTTTCAAAATTCAGTTGTAACACGATAACTAAAAAAAATGTTCTAAATTCATTGAATAACGGCTTAACAAATTCGTTGGAATGTCCTTTTGACCGAGTTCGAAGATGTAAGCAATAATCGTTATTTTGATGTCTGTTAAATTTTTCCAGAATTTCGTATTTTTGGAAAAATCGAAAATCACAACTCCGCAGATATCTCTGGATATTGTGCCTCAAATGAATTCAATCATAGCTTAATATGTTTGTTTCGATGACGAAGTTAAAGTTGGGTACAATAACTGTTTCCGTTAATTTCATTTTTAGGATAATTTTGGAATTTTCGAATTTTTTATGAATTTCCCTGAAAGTTAACTTTCTGATGGTTCCTTTAAAGCTAATTTTTCGAATGCATTCAATTATGTATAAATGGAATATTCCTAATAATATTTCATTGAAATTTTCAGAAATTTTTAGAATTTCATTAAGTGGAAAATCTAAAACAATTAGTTGGAAAGAAATTAATTCAATTCATGAAAATAAAATAGGCTGGAAATAATATACAATGGATAAAAATAAGCAAAAGGACCATTCGCAAGCATGTTGTTAATTTATTAGCAAAAATAAATATACTATACGCAATACAGGAGCAATTTCCCAGTTGTTTTTTCGTTTCTGCATGTCACATAAAAATCATTGTTTTACGTAGATGATTTTAGGTCATGACCAAAATTTTGCTGTTCCCCTTAAATTACTTCCTCAGTGAGTTATACTTGGTGAAAATTTCGCAATGAACTGAAAACCTAAAATTTGGATCATATGTTGTTGAGGACATGTAAGAACGGCTCCCAAAATTTAAAGTATTTTTTCCACGCGAATTTTTGAGAGATCCATCGTCAAATATTCAATTTTGGTCTTTTTTAAGTTTTTGTCGATGCATATCTCAAAAATTCGCGTGGAAAAAATTCTTTAAATTTTGGAAATCGTTTTCACATGTGCTCAATAACATATGATCCAAATTGTCGGTCTTCAGCTCATTGCAAAATTTTCACCAAGTATAACTCATTGAGGAAGTACCTTAAGGGGTAATGGAAGCCGTCGCAAAAGTTTGTTTTTTCAACCCATTTTTCTCCGATTGTGTCTAATATAAATGACTGAATTTTTCACCAATTATTGAGGCGAGTCTAAGCGTTGTCGTCCATCTATTATTTTTTAACATCAGCTGTGTCGTTAAGTTTTATGCATTTTTTTTGCGGAAAATCTGAAAAATAATAGATGGAGGACAACACTTAGTCTCCCCTCAATACTTGGTGAAAATTTCAGCCATTTATATTGGACACAATCGGATAAAAATGGGTTGAAAAAACAAATTTTTGCGACGGCTTCCGTTACCCCTTAAATACCAAGAGATTCAATGAAAACTGGTTAATAGTCAAACTCGACTTGAACCGTCTTACCCCTTCGCAACTAAATTTGTAACCCTCACGATATCACCCCCGCAATTTTCTAATTTCTTCTGTTGATGTCAGGAAGCCAGCAGTACTTCAAAACCCTCGAGGCCCCTTCCAACGAATACAGCACCACTTGCTGAACGAATGCGGCCAACGTCTCTCCTTGAGTACGTTGGACAATCCCACGTAATTGGACAACAGAGTATGCTGCTGCAACTTCTCTCGAAAGGTGAAATTCCCAACATAATCCTCTGGGGGCCCCCAGGATGTGGAAAGGTTAATTTCAATCAAAACCTCAACCTCAATTAATCTCCAGTCGCCAGTAAATTTTCCCAATTTATTCACAAACTCCTTCATTTTCCAGACCTCGTTGGCTAATGTAATTGCCACAATGTGCAAGAACGATCCGAAAAAAAAAATTCGTTACGTGAAGCTTTCAGCAGCCATGTCTGGTGTTGCTGACGTCAAGGAAGCAACGACAATCGCCTCCAACGAATTGAAATTTGGTCGCAGGACTGTGATATTCATGGACGAGATTCATCGCTTCAACAAAGCTCAGCAAGACATTTTTCTTCCCCACATCGAGGCTGGAACGATCACTTTGATAGGAGCAACCACTGAGAATCCATCGTTCAGCCTGAATTCAGCTCTTCTGAGTCGATGTCGAGTTATTGTGCTTGAGAAATTGACATTAGGAAATGTGGAAAGAATCCTGGACAAGGCTGTGGAGTCTCTGAATGGAATTGTGCACACAGAGGGTCAGAATGGACTGCAGAGAGAGTTTAAGGAAAGCCCCAGATTCATAATTGACGAGAAAACTATTCAATTCTTGGCGGAAACTTGCGATGGGGATGCTAGGATTGCTCTTGGAGGTCTGGAGCTTGCAGTCCAGTCTATTGTGCCTGGGGAAGAGGCTTCGAGGGACGATCCTCCTTTGATATCCCTGGAGGACGTTCAGGAGAGCTTAAAGAAAACTCACATGCTTTATGATAGGTGAAGATAATTTTTCATTTCATTTTTTTTTACACATTTTTTTCCATGAGCCGTCACTACATTCTCGACAACCGAAATTTTGTGGGCATTGACGATAAAAATTCCAGCATTCGTTATCATTATGAAATTATATCTCTAGTAGAGTTCTAAAGAACAGGCCATAAATTTGGAATAAATCGTCGAAATGAAGAAAAGCTCGAGGTTTTATATAGGGAAATGAACCACTTCATTGCAGAATTATGCTTAAAAATTCAAAAAGCAAGTTTCTTAATGATTTGCGCATGTGTAAAATTCTGTTTAATTTTTTTTTACGATGTAGAAAAGGAAATCTTATTGAGAAATAAAATTAATCACAATTTTTTCTTAAGGAGATCAGATAGGCAAAATCATAAGTAGAATTAAAATTATTTCATTACATACAAAATCAGTCAACTGTATTGTGGATTTTTTAATTTTTTGGTAAATTACTTATCAACTATGATTTTTCAAATTTTTTAATATTAAATTAATCATCCATCAAATATTTCAAATTTTCAAATATTTTATAAATCAGTAATTCACTTCGAAAGATTGACGATTAATCGAAAAATCGAATTCATCAAATTAGACTGAATTATTTAATCAAATTGAGAGTTAAAATTATTTCTTACTTTCAATAAAAATTAGTGAACTTTAATTAATTTGAGGTAAACTTCTTTTAATATTACTAAAGTAGTCATTTTTGCTGAGCCCTGAAGTACATATTAAGTACATATTATGGATATATTTCTCGATATCCATAAGTTCTAAAATTTTAAAATTGTCACCGATGTTCACCATCTCTCTAATACTATTAATTAAACAAATTATAACTCTGTTGGTGAATGTCAATTTTCAAGGTCATCGCCGAATTCACTTGGCACCCTTAATCACTCTGAAAAGAGTCAGACTCATGCTCAAGGAATGCATTATCATTCAACCACTCCATTTTCTGCATTAGAAAAGGTGATCAGCACTACGACATGATCTCAGCCCTCCACAAGTCAGTACGAGCCAGTGATGAAAATGCCTCTCTGTACTGGTTGACGAGAATGATGTCAGGAGGCGAGGACCCGGTGTACATTGCAAGGAGAATGGTCAGGATGGCCTCTGAAGATATTGGCCTTGAGGATCCGAAGGCTCTGGGAGTTGCAGTGCACACTATGCATGCCTGCAAAATGATGGGCATGCCAGAGTGCGATGTTCTCCTTGCCCAGTGTGCTGTCTACCTGGCGAGGGCTCCTAAAAGCAGACTGATGGAGGATGCTCTCCGAGCTGCGCAGCGAGTCGTGGCTGAACAAAAGGGACCCCAGCCTTCTGTGCCATTGCACTTGAGGAATGCACCGACTAAACTCATGAAGACGCTTGGTATTCTTCTTCATTTCCGACTTTTTTAAAATTTCAATCTTTCTCTCTGTTATTGGAATGAATTACCACTTTTACTTGATAATTTGTATATGAACTTTAGGTATCTGTTTATCCAAAAGGAAATTTCATCCAAAAAGTTAACGCATTGGCTAGAAAATTATGTTGGATTTCTATTCAAATTAGGTGTTAATCTTTGAAAATAATTGGATTTCTGTCGAAGTTCTATTGGAAATTCCATTAGTTTTTCGTCGATTCTTTTGAAAAATTTTATAGCTTTTCCACGCATTTTTTTAAGCAGAGAATGTTCAGTAAAAACGATTTCATATAAAAATTTGTGGTGATTTGAAATTATCATAATTTGTTTGTATTCTGTCTTTCCAAAGTCTGATGGCGCTAAAATAATTAGCGAATTTTATTGATAATTATTAACATAATAGAGACGAACAGTTTCATTGATCATAATTTGAACTTTCCTTAAAACTTATTCTATTGAAATATTTTTGCGACATAGATTCTCGAAGGTTTTCTTGTGGCCATCCTTTTCTGATTACATTAAAAATTAAAACAAAAAAATTCCGAAGATTTAAGCCGGGGAATTTCTGCAGAAAATATCTCAATAGAATAAACGTTGGAGAAAAATAAAATTCTGTTGATTTATTCTGTGAAATATTTTCTATTAACAATTTCTGGTTTCATTTATTGAAAACCACGAACAGGAAAGCTACGAAATCTTTCAATAGAATGGACGAAAAACTAATAGATTTTTCAATAGAAATCAGTAGAATTTTCTCGCCAATGTGCGACTAGTTATATTTTCATTGACCTTAGTAGATTCTGAATTTCTCTTATTCACACTTTGATTTCGCAGTTTTTAAAATCTGCATTAATAATTCTCATTAGTTTTACATGTTTCAACACCAAATAGAATTTACAGTGCTTGAAAATGGACTGACCGCAATTGAGCCTCTTTTAGGAATTTATGGGTAATTTGGAATCTAAAAGATCTTTTAGATTCCAAATTACCCACTCGTTTCGAGAATGTTTACAAAATATGCTGCACGTAAATTTTTAAAAATCAATCTAATCTTTCCTGGCTTAATAAACTGGATTGAGGAGAGGTTTGCCCTCGTTTCCGTGAAATTCCATAATTTGCTACTATTCCTGCTTTGAACAGAATTAAATGCAATCCACAAGCATGTTTATCTGTCTTTCCATGCCAGTCATTTAAAAAAAAAATTATAAATGCATTTTCAACACCAAACGTTCATGTGGGTATACGAAACTAACACTTTATAATGAAACACCCGTGGATGAAACAACATTTATGAAGAAATCGTTGAGAATTTGTTATTGTCAACGTAAGAAGGTATGATTTTTTTGTTTAGATTATGGAAAAGGCTACAACATGATGCACAAAGACTTGTCCGGTTTAACGTACCTTCCTGAGGGACTTGAAAACCTTGATTTCTTCGACGGGCAGGATCCAGCGAATACCCATGGAGATTGAGCGGGTTCATCTACAACTCCATGTTTTTCGTATCGTCTTATGATTATTCATACGCTCTGTTGATCTCTTGTTGATGTTTTTGATATTTAGATACTATTTCTAGATACTATTGTCTTTAAAAAAATCTGAGTAACCACAGCTGGCGTAGTTTTTGTATTTTCAATAAAAAAAAAAATAAGCACAGTTTTTTTATCCACTTTCAAGTTCTCCTCATCATGAAAAGCTAAAGGCGAAATTGTTTTTCAATATTATTTAATGGCAACATATTTGAGAGGTATAATTGCCTGCTAAATCTCAATTTTTCCTCAATCGTATATTGTGTTACGAGTGCGTAAAGTTTCACTTTTTCGTAGGCACATGTAACGCATTCTATTTTTTGCAATACCTGCTGACATCACTGTTCGTGCGTAAAGTGAATTTCGAAGCTTTAAGCACAATTTATACTTTACGCACGCTGCGCGGAAAACAACCGCTTTCTGCACACTAAAATGCTTCGAAAATTGCTCTTTCCATGCAGGCATCACAAAATAATATATTTTACGCACGCTACGCGTTTATAAATCGCTGCTTACAGCTGTTATGACAAAAAATATCATTCGTCATTAGGCTGAAAGAAATGTTCCTAGCTCGTATGATTGCAACCCTCGCCTTCGACTCAGGCTGCAAACTCATATTCGCCAGAAAAAATTTTTTCAGCCTAATGACGAAATATACTATTTTTGTAACACCGGCGGAGTCCAGTTATCAGGGGTGCAGTGTAGGTAAAATGTTTTTTTTTGCACGGAGTGCGTAAAGTTGAAGGTCGCGTGTAAAACAAACTTTACGGAAGAACTCTTAAACTTTACACACGTCATGCGTAAAACACTTCATGCATAATAAACCGTCACGAAAGGTGAACTTTTCAGGCAGATGTAAAATATATACTATTTCATCACGCTGTGTGTAAAGTGACATTTAACGCACGCCGCGCGTGCGCAAAACCCCACTTCCCACACATTGTGATGAAAAATGGTGTTCGATACTCGCGGGAAAAGTGTTTTTAGACTCGTGGGATTATCGCCTTCGCCTCGCCTTCGGCTCGTGCTATAAACCTCCCACGAGCCCAAAAACACTTTCCCGCAATCGTATCGAAATATACTATTTTGTCACTGCTCCTACGTTCAACCCGTGTCGAAAAGTGCCTATTGATAAAATAGTATATATTTTACATCTGCCTGAAAAGTTCACTTTTCGTGACGNTTTCAGTCCTAAGGAGTGCATTTCTCACTTTTTCACTCCTAAGTAGTGCATTTCTCACTTTTATACTGCTCAACGGTAAAAAGACCTACTTCTCATGCTTAACTACCGTCGGTAAAAGAGCCCTTTTTGGGCTTGAGCAATGAAAAAACACTTTTTTGCACTCGTTACGAAATATACTATATTAACAAACCATACATAATAAACATTATTTTGGTGTTATGCATTTTAGGAATACATTTTTTTTAGGAATTTTTGNTAGCTCGTGGGATTATATCACTCGCCTTCGGCTCGTGCTATAAACCTCCCGCTCGCCAAAAATAGTATATTACGTGCTAAGGCGGAGAAGTGCTGAATTNGCTTGAGCAATGAAAAAACACTTTTTTGCACTCGTTACGAAATATACTATATTAACAAACCATACATAATAAACATTATTTTGGTGTTATGCATTTTAGGAATACATTTTTTTTAGGAATTTTTGGTTTACTAGTAAACGAAAAGTCGAAACTTGTAAACGAAAAGACTTCGTTTACTAGTAAACGGAAAATGGCACAGTTTGGCATTCGCTGAACGTAACATCACTAACATAGTATATTTCGTTACGAGTGCGGAAAAGAGTTCTTTGGTTCGTAAGATTATTCACTCGCCTTCGTCTCGTGCTATAAACCTCCCACGAGCCAAAAAACACTTTTCCCACGAGTATCGAACGATATTTTTCATCACACTGTGTGGAAAAGGGACGTTTTAGGCACGCGAAGCGGGCTTAAAAAGTTAGTTTTTCGCACAGCGTGATGAAAAAAAATATAGTTCGGATACAAGTGCGACGGGGTGGTAACGAGTGTGAAGTCGAGGGCTGCCAATCACACGAGTTAAATATACTATTTCAAGCTCCCCAATCATGAAAACATCTCCGTCACTTTTCGAGAGCTGAACAAGCAATACTGCAAATATATATTATAACATCGTATCAATCTACCCCTACCGACGCAACCCCACAGCCGGATGGAATTATAAATTCTCTTCCCTTTTTCGAATTTATAATTCCTATTCTATCGTAATGACCCAGGGTGAATAGGCCAATTGCTGGACGGTTTCGTGGTGGGATCTAACAATAAAAGAATCACCTAAATGGGGATATGATGGTTTCCATATCTTCAACAATATTCTAATTAGTATAAAAAAGTTATTTGAAGTGAAAATAACAAAACAAAGAATAATTAAATTAAGAAATAGTTGAATGCAGCCGAAACCCCTAATTTCTGGACGCCTGGGCCATATTCTTTTCATTTATTAAATGTCGATTAATAGAAAAAATAATTGATCACATGATTATATACGAGTAGATTAGGGAAAAGGAAATCTTATTCAATGTAATAAAATGAAATAAACAATTAATTATACACGACAGAAGGAAATAATGTGCAAAATAACCTTTCGGAAGCATATTGCTAATTTATTATTCCTTGCGGATTATCCCACTCACACGATCTGGGCAGAAGATATTGATGATTGATGAAGGTCCGTTTCACTTTCCCTTTCTCTGGTCATTGGTCCGTTATTTTATAAGGGTGGGTGGGGTAAAATGGACACTTGAGACTTATTTAAAATTATTCATAACTCAGAAACAAATTTATTAATTGAGCTCTGTTTAGGCTCGCCACAAAGGAAAAGAATTGTTCTTTGTATTGAAAAAAAATATTAAATTTTATCAACATTTCAACTCTTACTAACATTTTTTAAAAAGTCAAAAGTGTCCGTTTTACCCCAACCTCCCCTACTTCACAAACTTTGAAATTTCTTGAAATTTTAGTCACAGCGCCCTCTGAATTTTCGATGCACTACATTTCTCATTTATTTTGAAAATTCAAGACAATTGGGTTTTTTATGGTAAATAATCATTGATTTTTCAACGAAAGCTTGAATTTCCGAACTCATCGTGGAAATTTAACATCACATACAATTCAATTTTCAGTAAATTGCGAATTCAGAAAAATTGTTGGCTGAATTTTCAAAATTTTCAAGATTTTTCAGTGCCGTATGGACCTGAAAATCGAAAATTACTTGAATATTCAAGAAATTAACTAATTCATGAATGAAGAACTATACAGAAATTTCATGTAATATTTCATGTAATATTCATGACATATTTCATCTTTGTCGTTGTTAAAAATTTCACGCTTCTTCACTTTAAATTTCAAGAGTAATTTTCTAATAGTGTAGGGTATACCGGTGAATTGCTAGACGGTTAAGGGAAATTCGAGTCTTGTGGTAGGATCTACCCATAAAAGAATCACCTAAATGGACATATAATGGCTTCCATACCTTCAAGAATGTTTTAATCGGCAGAAAAAAATTACTTGAAGTGAAAATAACAAAACGAAGAATAATTAAATTAAGAAATAGTGGAATGCAGTCGAAGCCCCTAATTGCTAGACGATTGGCCCATATTTTTTTTATTTATTAAATGTCGATCAATAGAAAAATAATTGATCACATGATTATACACAGAGATAGCCAACTTTGTAATATTGTATTACGATTACTTTTGTAGCCCTTAAATAGATAACATCACCCTTGAAATTTTGTGAGTACTTAAGTATCATCAATTCAAATATTCAAATTTTTAACTATTTAATCAATCAATAATTTGAGGTAGGAAGATTGACGATTACTTGTGTAATCGAAAATCTCCTTTTCAGAAATTTGAATTATTCACTTAGTAATAAATTTACAGTTTCATATTAACAAATTTTAAATATTTCATTATTCATAAAAAATCAGATTATTAATATTATATTATGTGAAAAATTGAATCAACATATTTTAAACCTTCATTAATGTAAGGGTCAAATCCTTGTAATATTATAGAAATTTAATCTTAATGGGGATCCCTGATTATACACGAGTCATTTTATTGACAAGTCCGTACAATTTTCATTTTATTTATGAAATATTCAATGCAAATTGAAATCGTCCAGAAACAAACCCTCGTCCAGAAATTGACCTGTTTACCCTCCCCAGGCTTTGCTCTTGAGATGTGTGGACGCAGTTCGGTTTATTCCTTCCTACTTCGGTTTGTTCCTTCTTCTCTGTGTCGACGTTCTCCTCCTTCACTTCTCTTTCTCTCTCTCCTTTTCCCCTGATGTGTGCCTTCTGCCGTTTATTCTTCCAACATTACACCGATTCCGTTCGCGCTCCCACATTCGGTTTCCAGTCCAGCTCGGCACTCCGAACGCGCCACTTCAATCGGATTGTCTCGGAGACTTGAAACACTTGATTTATTTCTCGAGATCGTTCCATTCAATTCAGAAAATAATTCATTTCTCTTGAATGAAAGTTTTCTTATTTTGGTGTCCTTGGAAGAAAAATGAGATGAAGAAGTGAAAAGTTCGTCGAATTATAATTAGAAGGTGGGTCTAAACTAATGAAACAATTCCATTTTTTAGGGGTTTTGATAAAAGGGGAACAAGGGATAATGGGATTCCCCCTGCTATAGAAAATTCTATACTCGTTTGAATTGATTGATGATTCATGACGTACAATCAATTTCCAATCAATTTCCTTGGAGATATTTATCATTTCCCATCATTCAGAAGGTAATGGAACATTATCAATGATTCATTACTCTTATTTTCGTTTAAATGGCAGGTGAAATGATAAGTGACAAAAATTAAAAGGAATTTCCTTTCCCCAATTTACTCAGCAATTTGAAATACACTGATAGAAAAAATTAATTTTATCAAGAGAATTTTATTTGAACCAACTATCATTTGGTTGTTAATTTTCAAATAAACATGATTTCATAGTGAATAGCAGTTATCTGTTCTTGAGTTACATTTCATTGGGAGAAATCTCACTTCTCTAGAATTGAAGTTCCTTTTATTTGTCGCAATAATGAGAATATTTGATTTCTTTCTAGCCAAAAGTTTGCTAACTCCAGAAATTCGTTGGTTTAACGTTGTTATCTCAATCAACACGATCATACGTTGTTCCAAGTAAATTATAATTGAAGTGAGCATTTCGTATGTCGAATCAGGATGAATATTGTTACGCGGAAAAAGCTTTGAGATTGTAGTGAGATGTTGTTGAGTTGAAAGGAGTTTATATTTCTTGACTAAACAAAATCGCATTAGGTTACAATAACAGAATCACAGATTACGGCAATTCAACACAAACTTGGAAATCACAAATTTTGTTCATTGTGATGTACGGAAAGCTCAATTTAACCCTAGTTGGTCACCATAGGAGGGAAACGCCGCAGAAAGTAGTTTTTTTTTCTTACCATTGACTGGCTGAGCGGAAAAATCCTAAAAAATTGGAATGCGTCAATTCAAGTGTCTAGAAAATCATCATATTTTTTAAAATTATTTATATCCACAATTCCTGAAGAAAAAAAATTATTACTAACTGACGGGGAATTTGTTCCCATGTTAAATGAAATTGCCCATTGTGCGACGTTGCCGAAGTGTCGCTGAACGCGCCCGGGCAGTATAGAGTGAATTCGGCAACACTCGGGCCTAAATAACACGGCGGCGATTCCCTACGGGGGTGACCAAGTCGCAAGTTCTCATATGGTGACCAACTAGGGTTAAACATCAGCTTCATTCCAAAAAACAACATTTAATGGATTTCTCAATGTAATCATCTACTAGGTACGAATTTTTTATCAATTCATGAAAGTAGAAAATTTCTCGACTGAAGATTACATTAGGTTAAAAAAAATGGAACTTTTCCATTTTTGTGGGGAATACATGTGACTTGACGCCAAGGACTATTTTATTCGATTCAAGTCAATGTATCTTAAGAAACAATAATTGATATTCACCGTAAGATCTTATTTATTTGAAATTAGTTGAAATATATAATACTTGTAAAAATAATTTTTTCTATCACTATAAGGGAGACGTTGCACTTGGAAAAAACGAAGATGGTAAGATCCCAGTGCTGGAGGAATAAAGAACTGGTGACGTTGATTCCTCCTCAACAACATCACGGGGGTATTTGATTGCATGTTTCACTATTTTTTACGATGATGATAAATTTTACACCTGAAGAGGAATGCCTTGAGTGTTGCCTCGAGGTTGTTAAGAAGTTTTTTTATTTTGCTTTCGTTCCTTTAAATTACGGTATACGACCAATAACAAAGTCGCGAAATATCCTTCATCAGTTGGGAACAGATGATGAGTTCGAAAATAAACGATGCCGATGACTTTTTGAATATTTGAGGAAGAGGTTCAAAAGAATTCACAAAGGATTTTTTTTTTCTAAAAGTTTGATGAACTTTATTAATTTCCATTTATTTATTTCCATTTGCGAAATAATCGGATATTCCCCTACCGTCTGTTTTCTCAACCATCGTTACAATAATCAAATCAAGCGCATCGCTGATTAATTTTTCAAACTGATTTCTAGCGCAATGAATGACCCCCAAGTTTTCAGGAAACAATTTTCAATTAAGACATCGTTAAAAAGTGAGAACAAGAAAATTATTAGATTAACACCATAAAGTGTATTTCAACTCTTACAAATCGTATACGATCGATCGGTTTCGTTCAAGAGCGTTTCACCACTCGTTTAAATCCAGAAGTGAGTCCCAGTGGGCCCTCTCAACCGTCTCCTTCATGAATAATGCATCTCGGGGGCGGTTGAATTCTTCCATTCCACCCTAACATGTCCTTATTCCATTGTGAAATGGCAACAAACAATCGAGAAGCACTTCGGCAATTTTGTTTGAGCTTCTTTAGTCTCAACTCAAGTTCCTAATTTCTTTACGTTCTCTGGACGTCGTCGAAGGCATCTTAAGGATATACAAGTCAAGGATGGCCATCAATCTTTTGATTCTTCAATATTGAAAGAATTTCCGACTTACACTGATTAAGCCTTAAATATACTAATCGAAATTAAAAAATAATGAAATAACTGATAATCTAAATTTCCAATTGATGATGAATTAAATATTTAATAATATGGCGCTATAAATTTTCTATTAAGGAAAAAATATTAAATTTCTTATAAGGGATTGTCGATTATCCGAATAATCGTCAATCTTCCTAACTAAATTACTGATTAATAAATAATTCGGGATTTGAATATTTGAATTGATAATTAAAATTTAAAAGCCATATTAACGACTTGACTATCTAATAATATAATGGGAATTATAATTTATGGATATGGCTATCCCTGATCCAAGTCCTTCTTTCAAGTTAGCAACTTTTGTTCAAGTAAGACTTTAGTTTTGCCGCCAATCTTGCCATCCCCATACTTTTTCGGATTTTTTGTTGTTGAATACATTTTTTGGGGAATTTTTCCAATGAATATTGTGTATGATATTTTATTCAATTCCACACTTGACTTTCGTTGGTATAATCTCTAATGATCATATATATCATCATATAACCTCGCACGGAGAGAAATGTTCAGTAAAAATTACGGAACTCTCACTTCACTCACCAATTACGGAATCGACTCAGAAAATTCAAGTGACCGTATCGTAATTTTTCACAAGAGATTCAGATAAAAATTACGGAACGCTCCGGAAAAATTCCGTGAGAATTCCGTAAAGTTTCCTACAACCACATTTCGCTCCGGAATTATGGAAAAGATACGTAATTTTTATTGGATATTTCTCTCCGTGCGTAAATTCGGGCCGAGCATGGATGAAAAAATTTAATAGAAAAACCTAGACAATCTTATTGGATTTCTATTGAGTTTACTATTAGTTTTTGGGCAATTCTATTGAAATTTTCGACAGAAAATATTCTATAGAAAGTCAGAAGAACTAGATTTTTCTATGCAACTTATTCTATTGAGATGTTTTCTATAGAATTGCCTCGGCTCAAATTTTCCAAGTTTTTTGTTCGATTTTCTTGAGAAAAAGAAACTTCGAAAATTTGAGCCGAGGAAATTCTATAGAAAATATCCGAAGAGAATAAGTTACACAGAAAAATCAAATTCTACTTACTTTTTTTATTGAATATTTTTTATTGAACATTTGAATAGAATCGGCCAAAAACTAATAGAAAGTTCAATAGCAATCCAATAGAATTTTCTAACGAATTCGCTAGGTTTATCTATTGAGGTGTTTTGTGCGAAAAAGGTAAATAATGACATTCATTTGGAATTCTTATAGAGTGTTTATAATCACATTGAATTGTTTATGAATTTTCCTAGAATATTTTCAGATTTCCTTTTCAAGTTATTAACGATTGAAGTCGCTTCTTATACATAGGCTCTTATGGAGATTTTTTGTTTAGCACGAAACTATATTATCAGCACAGATGGTGATGCAGTTTCGTGCTAAACAGAAAAATCACCATAAGAGCCCGTGTATAAGCAGCGACTTTAATCGTTAATAGCTTGAAACGGAAATCTGCAAAAATTCTATGAAAATTCATCGACAATTCAATTGTGATTGTAAACACTCTATATGAATTCCAAATGAATGCCATTATTCATTTTTTCCTCACGAAACACCTTAAATTATTTCGAGCGTGAGTAGTCACTTGAGTAGGCCGTCGCCAGACGTCAAGAACGCGCGGAATCAAACCGCCCAATATGGCCGTCGTGCCAATCAAGACGCTTTTAATTTGATTGGCTGCAATTATCTGTCGAGAAACTTATTTTTTTTAATGTCGCAAAAAAACTAGAGAGTATAACGAACAAAATCATATACGGTTATGTGTATGAGGAAACGTTTTAAGACTTCGAACAATTGAAGGATTGAAGGTAAAGCATACAGTTCTTATCGACGAAGTGTTAAATTTCGTTTTTTCAAAACTTCTTTTCTCAAAGACATTCGAAAACTGAAGTTGATATTGCGCCTAAAAAATACTCTTGGTCTATTCCATAAACTCTGAATAGGAATTCCCCCAGAAAAAAATTGCCCAAACTACTTGGATATCCTTAACCCTAGTCTGGTCACCAACGCGACCCTGCGATTGGTCACCTCCGCGGGGATTCGTCGCCGTGTTATTTAGATTTTAACGTTGCCGAATTGACTCTGCACTGCCCGAGCGCGTTTAGCGCGTTTCCGGCAATGTCGCGTCATGGACAATTTCATTTACAATGGGAAAAAATAATTCATCTGTCCGAAATAATTTGTTTTCTTTAGGAATATTGGGAAGTGTCTTGTTCTAAAGACTACTATCATTTTTTAGACACTTCAATTGACAAAGTCAAATTTTTTTCAATTTTTCTGGTTAGCCAGTCAATTGTAATTAAAGAAAAACGACGCGCGGCGGGGGTTCCCTCCTAGGGTGACCAATCTAGAGTTAAGATAGTATATTAATCATACTGTTACCGGCAATAGTATATTTCAGGGCGAGTGCCATAGGGTTTTTTACTCGCGTGGAGTTGGCGTCCGAGCCGAAGGCGAGGACTGGCCAACCATGCGAGTAAAAAAACCCCA